AATCTTCAATTGTTTGTGCACGAGTCGTTTGATCACTTCGAATCGTTCTTTGTCTCTCAGTTACATTCGGCACAATTCATCTTCTAACTTTTGTCCATCATTCGGCATCATCTGACGTTTTAACTCGATACCCATAGATTTTTAAAGAAAAAAAATCAAATTTTTTTTCACGGGAAATTGGAAATTTTTTTAATCGAAAATTCATTTACACGGAAAAGCGTTATAACTCATGGGATCGTGACGTTCGGTACGAATTACGCCTATCAGCGTTTGATTTATTCGCCCAAAGGGTTTGCCGTATGTCGCGTGAAAGGCGAGTAGAAAAAAAAATGTAAATGACGCAAGGCCTCACGAGAGTGGGAAGTAATGGGAGCGACGAAGATAGAGAGAGGCTTAATGAGAGGCGCAAGAGCGAGACAAAGAATTTCGGAAATAGACGCAGCAGGAAGGCGTCGGATTAGCGCACGGCGACGCTTGCGCCGGCACTTCAATTTAATTTTATGCTCGGCACAGTTCGCAGTTTGGAAGTCAAAATCTTGATAGTTCACCCAGTTCGAGGAAAGAGCGAGAGGGAGAAAATATAGAAAAGCAAAGAAGAAGGAAAAAACAAAAATAACGTCAAGACTGACTTCATGACTTTTCCCAGAATGCACTAGTGAACAGTTATGACTGTGGAATTTTTGGCGCGTCAGAAATATTCTGTAAGTAACTAGACCATACATTTTTGAATTTTTTTTTTCGAAATTTTTATTTACCCTATTTTCGACCACTTTGACTCTTTCTTACCTATTGACTTTTTTTTCAGAATCGGGAAAAAATTTTGCTTGAAAAGTTTCCTCGTTGCGCTTATATGTCCCTTGGAAATAAAATTTCGGCCAAAATCCTTAAATAATCACGTGACTTCTCTGGCTTCGAAACGATTCGGGCGTGGCTATGCCAAATTAGTATAGAAGTTTCTCCCCACCTTTGGGATATCGTAACGAGTTTGAGGCTGGTTGAAGTTACAGTTGGAAAGGAAGAAACGTCATAGTAAATACTGTAAGGCCTGGCTCGAGTCAGCCAACCGGAATTACTTTATTTCACGTGAATTTGTCAACGGGTATATACATATATACTGGTTTCTGGGCGAAATCGATATTTTGGAATTACTCGAACTTCTTCGTACAGAAAATACCATCTCCAGAGTCCACAACTGTCAACGCCTTTGAGATCTTTCGAAAAGTTCTCGCATTGACTTTACTTTCGAGTATCTCTTTTCCTCTTGGCTAATCATTCTATTTACCTCTTTCTCTTATCTCCACTCTTCGACCATACAAAATGGATTCGCATAAAATCACTCGAAGACCATTTTAACACGTTGCACCGAACGGCTGGAAATTGTATTACGAATTCAAATTATCCGCCGTAATTCTTCGGCATAGAATTGAAGATGGTTGCCAGGCAACGCGATGCATCGTCTGCGTATGATCCGAATAAAAAAATCAGCTCGAATTATCCCTTAAAGTATATACGTGCTCTATAGGCAGTAAGACAAGTCATTATTTCACGCAATCTGAATATCCTAGGTCGGATAATCAGTTACGACCTACCCCTATTTCCATCCCCTAACCCATCGGCGGTGTCGTACGTTAAAGTTAACGCGCGATAACCGTAGTAAAAGATATCGAGTCCGGCCGTAGTCGGTGGGTGCATTTACGAGGGGTCAGAATTATCACCCTAAGGATAAAACCCCCTAGGCGCGCGGCGGCTCGACGCCTAGGCGTCCCGTCACGAGGCAGCAACCCCTTTGGCCTTCTAGGGGAGGATTTATCGATTGCGCTCCCCACCCCGTCGAAAGGGCGCCAGGGGTGGTCGCTCTCTGGACTTAGAAAAGTCTGACGGGTTGCGGGGGGGTGCGCGGGGACCGGTCTAGGGATGCCCCTACTCAAAGGCCATCAGCGTGGAGAGGGGCGGAGAGGTGAAGAGGGGAGGCCTCGCTCTTGGGGAGGCTGCCTGGCTGTTAGGTATAGTTAGGGCAGGTAGGTGGATAGGCAAAGGTAGGTTGGATGGCTGGCTGGGCTCGTAAGAGGGGATCAACTGGTCGACCGACTATCCAAGTATAGGGTGAGTGCTAGAGAGAGACGGAGTGTGCGTGAGAGAGAGAGAGAGAGATAGTAAATATATAGGTATATACGTACAGTGGAGAAAGAGATAGGAAAATATATTGGTAAAACGACGAACAGGTTATGGCAGCTATGGCAATCTATAGGGTGGGTTTGCAATGTTGCTGGGGAACCCTTAGCTCTGTACTAGCTATACCCCCCCAAGTGTCATCTCGTTTCGTTACCCTCGTGCCATCTTGGTGTATACGTTTGTGTATATATATATATATATTGGCAACGTGGCTTACGGTTACATATATAGTTGACTGAGTTACACACTTGTAAGAGTCGCGACGCGCTTACTTCTATTTACATGGAAAAGCGGGAGAAAAAGGCCAGATTTTGAAGGAGCGTCGCGGCGCCACTGAGAATACTCGTTGCTTCACTCTTGTACGTACCGGAGTATTCGTCACGCGGAGTGCGCTTGCATTTGTTATTGAATTTCTATGAGGTTGTTGTTTCCTCGTTTCGCTTGAACTTTTAGCCTTATAGTTTGGTCGGTGGTATTTTAATGATGACGTACTTACGTTGTCGTGGGCGTTTAGCGATTGGAGCTACTGTACTGGGGGGCTGAAAATAAGTTTTTGGGAATTTCGTGAAGGTTTGAGGCAATTTCGCGGGGAATTAGTGTTTATTGTATGTTTGGAATTATTATAATATCGAGGGGTGATGGTAATTTTGATTTTATTTTTCGGAAAAATCGTAGGGTTTTATGGGGACGTTCGGGGTCGTAAGGGTGGAATCGTGGTTTATGAAATTCACGACGTCGCGACGCCTCGAGAATTTGTGCTTTTTTTTTTTTTTTTTTTTTTTTTTT